TTTTTATTTTGTATTTTGAGACAGTGTCTTGCTAAATTGCCAAGGCTGGCCTTGAACTGGGCAATCCTGCCTTAGCCTCCCCAGGGAGTACAGGCATGCACCACCATGTTCTGCCAAGTACTACATATCTAGCAGCTCATTCATCTTCACAGTAGCCTGTGATAGTTACTCTGTTATCCTCATTTTATCTGTAAGGAAGCTGAGGTGTGGAACTATCAGGTAACTTGCCTTAGATCCCTCAGGTGGTGAGTATCAGTCAGGACTCAGACCCAGGCAGTTAGGACCCAGGCCCTTGAGCTTAACCCCACCTCACATTCAGGCCTGGGTCGTAGTTTGTTGTTGGGAAAGACTCAGGAGGGAAGAATCTGCATTAATTTTACTGACTTCAGTGTTCCTGAGGTCCATTTGTTTGGCAAATTTCTTGAACATCTTTTGTATACAAGATCCAAAGAATATTAAGACATATTCATTAACAAAGTTTTTATTTTTTTTCCCCTTCAGTGCTAAGGATTAAATCCAGGGCTTGCACATGCTAGGCAAGCACTATATTGCGAGCTACATCCCCAAACCCAGCAAGTATTTATAAGATAACATTTTATTTTTACTTGCTCTTAGGAAACTTTTTAAGATCATACAGAAAACAAATACAAGGAAGAATCACATACATTTTTACCATCCACAGATGATTTTTGCTGATTTTGGTGGTGGGGGGGTATTTACATGGATGTACACCTTTGCAAAATCAGTCATGTTAAATACTCAGTTTTGAATCCTGCCCTTTTCTCTCTCTTGAGCCACATCCCCAGCCCCCTGCCCTTTTCTCTTAACATTGTAAGAAATGTTTCTCAAGTGTCTACTCGAGCTGGGCTTCAGATGAATCATGACAAAGCCCCGTGCTTCTGTAGCCACAGACAGGTGAGCAGAGAGGGCAGCAGACAACTCTGGGGTCTTGGGGAGGATTGTGGGTTCATGGGCCATGGCGGATGATGGCAGATGGGAAGGGCATCCTAGGGAACAAAAGCAGCAAGGTAGAGATTCAGAGGACAGGCTCGAAGGCAGTGCTGGGTTGTGAAGGGCTTTGCTAGCCATCCTCAGGGTTGGTGATATTGGTAGGTTTCAAGTGGGGAGAAACCTCAAGTGGCATTTGAGACAGATTGCCTTTCTATACACATCAGTCCTGTGATTTGAATTGGGAGGGGGCAAAGTGGGGAGACTTTCAGAGTTATCCAGGTGAGACATGAGGAAGGCTTGAACCAGAGTTAGCAACAATGAGAAGAGAGGAATGAAGAGGAGACTGATTCCAAAGAGATGTAACAAGTAGAAAGGGCAGGAATTAGTGGCTTTGCCATATGATCTGCCTTGACCAATGAGATGGTGGGATGCCTTAATCAGGCTTTAAAATTTGGATTATGTTTTTATGGTTGAGATTTTAAAAAAGGATTTTAATATTAAAATTGTTTTGAATTGACACATAGTAATTGTACATATTTATGGGTTACAGTGTGACATTTTTTTAGTTGTTGATGGACCTTTATTTTATTTGATTATTTATACGTGGTGCCTCACACAAGAGGCAAATGCTCTACTGCTGAGCTACAACTCCAGCCTCAGTGTGACATTTTAATACATGTATACAATGTGTAATGATCAGGTCAGGGTAATTGGTATATCCATTGCCTCAAATATTTATCATTTTTTGAGAACATTCAAAATCCTTTCTAATAGCTGTTTTGAAATGTATAATTAATTGTGGTCAACCACAGTTACCCTGCTGTGCTACAGAACATTAGAAATGATTCCTCCTATCCTGCTCTACCCTTATACCCATTAGTCATCCTCTCTCCCGCTATTCCTTTCCCCTCCTTGACCAGAGTCCTGATAATGTGTAGTTGGGCTTGCTTGCTCTTGTGCTGCTGTCCTTACCTAGAAGGGTATGCCCAGCCTAGTCTAGTTGGCCTCGCAGGAGGACGAAAGACTGGTGGAGGACAGCTACCTGCTAAACCTCCCAGCCAAGCATAGAACAGAGACCCAGATGACTCACAGCCTCATGATCAAGGCCAGCCAAGATCTGCCAACCCACAGAGCTGCAATAGTAAATGATAGGAGATTTAAGCTAGTTTGGGAATGATTGTTAGGTGGCCATTGCTAACCAATTAAAAAAAGTCCTTATTCTTGTGTCGAATGTGCAACTGGGTACCGGGCACCATGCCAGGGACTGGGATGGCAGTGCTGAACCACACAAATAACCTTACTCAGAAACTTGGGTTGGGGGTTGGTGGGGGGTGGGGGATGTGAAAGGGGAAGAGAGAGTGATTCAGGGCCTCTGGCTTCTAACTGGGTGCATGGTGATGTCATTAATCAGAATGGGGTTAGAGGAGGAAAATAGGTTTGATGGGGGGAAAAAGAATGAGTTTGATTTAGGAAAGGAGACATTTAGGTGGAGGTGTCCAGGAAAGAGCATGATATAGCCAGGTGTGGTGGTGCACCCCTGTAAACCCAACAACTTGGGAGGCTGAGCCAAGGAGGATCACAAGGTCAAGACCAGCCTAAGCAATTTAGCAAGACCTTGTCTCAAAGTAAAAAATAAAAAGGGCTGGGGAGGTAGCTCAATGGTAAAGTGCTCCTGGGCTCAATTCCCAGTACAAACACACACACACCAAAAAAAAAAAAAAAAAAAAAAAAAATGCTAGGAAGAGCACAGTGCAATGCATAAGGGGAAGCAGGTATCGTTGCAACATGGTCTGTGTTATCTGAAAGATGAGGCTGGCATTCCCAGACAGGTGGGCAAACTGCAGATATCATTTTCTTAACCTCTCAGTTCCCTGGCCCATCTTGGAAAAGGGTTGACACATGTTAAGCCAAAAATTCTTTGGAAGCTGGCAGAGTTTTTCCTACTCTTTTTTTTTTTGTACCAGAGCCTTGAGCATGCTAGGTAAGTACTCTACCACTGAGCTACATCCCCAACCCTTTTTATTTTATTTTGAGACAGAGCCTCACTATATTGCCATGGCTCACCTTGAACTTATGATCCTCCTGCCTCTGTCTCCGGGATTGCTGGGATTAGAGGTCTGCACACCCATGCCTGACCAGAGCTTCCCATTTTTGTTGTAATCCTGAACTCTCCTATATCCCCCTCTGCCTAAATAGGACATACCATTTAGAGAGTTCTGCTCAGGAGAGACCTGTGCCAATGATCGCAAAATGTAACTGAAAAACAGCCACTGCTCTCAAGGAGTTCACAGGCCAAATCACAAGGGCATGCACATCAAAAAGTAAAAAAGTTGGCATCTGATAATGGGCCAAATCAGTGGTCCAGACACTCTCTGGTAGAGGAAGAAGGGAAATCTGAGAGGCCTGTGGCCAGGCCAGGCTTCAGGGAAACAGGATGGGATGAGAGCCAGTCCCTGAAGGCTGCTGAGGTTTTAAAAAAAAAAAAAAAAAGGAGGGGGATGGAGAAGGAAAGGGGAGCACTCTCAATCCACTGGTTTCCCCTCAACATTGAAACTAAACACCAAAATTCAATTTAATGTAGCAGTTAAAGACAAAATGTGACCATAATGGGTATTACTTTAGGTGTCTTGTTAGGATGGCCATTATTGGGGAAATAAAAACAAACATCGGCCAGGATGTTGAGAAACTGGAACACTTGTGCACTGCTGCTGGCAATGTAAAATGTGAAGAATGGTGTGAAAGTTCTTCAAAAATTAACCATAGAATTACCATATGATCTAGGCATTCTAATTTTGGGTACAGACCCAAAATAATTGGAAGCAGGGTCTTGTAGAGATGTTCAGACACCCATATTCATAGCGTTATTTATAGTAGTCAAAAGATGGAAGCAACCTCAGTGTCTATGGACAGAGGAGTGAACAAACAAAATGTGTTCCATATAGCTGATGGAATTTATTCAGCCTTAAAATGGAAGGAGATTGAGACACATGCTTCATTATATGGAGGACATTATGCTCAATGAAATAAGCCAGTCACAAAAGACCAAATACTGTCTGATTCCAGATTCCAGAGGAGGATATGGGAGAGTTCAGGATTACAACAAAAATGGGAAGGGGAGGTACCTCCAATTTATGGAGACCGAGCTGAGGGAAGAAGGAATAGGAAGTTAGTGTTTCATGGGGACAGAGTTTCTTTGGGATGATAAAAAGGTTCTGGAGGTGGATGGTGGGGATTTCTGTACAACAGTGTGAATGTGCTTAATGCCACTGACTTGTACACTGAAAAATGGCTAAAATGGTAAGTGTTATGGACGTGTTATGAAGACAGAGAAAGGTGTTAGTTTTCTTAGATTTCAGAAGTGTGAGTGACATGGGGCTATTTGAGAAGTGAGAGAAGACATGGGATCCCAGTGGATGGACCTGGTGAGAAATGAGCTAGTAGCCTAGAAGTGGGAGTGGGTGGTGGGCCAGGACAGACAACTCTTCAACTGATTACAATCAATCAATCAAGTTTAAGTGTACTAGACACCCCCGAGTAGTTGTGAAGAGTTGATCAGAGGAAGCCAGTGAGCTGGCTTGTTTTCTTCCATTCATTTCTCATGCCCACTGCCTAAGGAAGAATAGGCGATACAGAAATGAAAATGGAGTAAGGTCAAGAAGACAGCAGGCTCCCAGGGTCGCAGCGGGGCCCTCCTGTAATCCCAGCCTAGGAGTCTGAGGCAGGCAGATCCCAGTTTGGAAGTCAGCCTTAGCAACTTAGTGAGGCTGAGGCAACCTAGTGAGATTCTGTCTCATAGTAATAAAAAACATAGAGGGCTGGGGATGTGGCTCAGTGATTAAGTGCCCTTGGGTTCAATCCCTGATACCAAAAAATGAAAGAAAAAGGAAGAAACTGACAGAAAACGGTAGGTAACCAAGGAGGAAGGAGAAAGGCAGGGTTAGGTGTGATGAAATCCCCTCCCGCCTGATCACCCCAGAGGCGTGGGCTGGGCGGTGGGAAGACAGCAGCAGGGGCCTCCTCCCTCATGCATCTCCTCTGTGTCCCAGCAGCAGGCTCCAGGGGGCACCATGGCTTCTGCGGAGCCGCTCACGGCGCTGTCCCGCTGGTACCTGTACGCCATCCACGGCTACTTCTGCGAGGTGATGTTCACGGCCGCCTGGGAGTTCGTGGTGAACTTTAACTGGAAGTTCCCGGGCGTCACGAGCGTGTGGGCCCTCTTCATCTACGGCACCTCCATCCTCATCGTGGAGCGCATGTACCTGCGCCTGCGGCGCCGCTGCCCGCTGCTGCTGCGCTGCCTCATCTACACGCTCTGGACCTACCTGTGGGAGTTCACCACGGGCTTCATCCTGCGCCAGTTCAACGCCTGCCCCTGGGACTACTCCCAGTTCGACTTTGACTTCATGGGCCTCATCACCCTGGAGTACGCCGTGCCCTGGTTCTGTGGGGCCCTCATCATGGAGCAGTTCATCATCCGGAACACCCTCCGCCTCCGCTTTGACAAGGATGCCGAGCCTGGGGAGCCCGGGGGGCCGCCAGCCCTGGCCAACGGCCACGTCAAGACTGACTGACTGTCCGGGAACAAGTGGGAGGGCTTGGGGGAGGTCTCTTAGGGAACCCAAGGACAAAGAGACCCAGCTGTCAGGGTTACCCCTTCTGTTTAGCACAAGCCCCTCCCGGAGCTGGGCCTTTAGCTCGTAGGGCACACACAGCCCCATACCCTCCAGGGTGGGATGGTGTTAGGAGGTGGGGTGTCTAGACAACAGAAGGACATTGGTAAGGTACATGGATCTTGGCCCCAGTCCAGGGGCTGGTGGCAGGAGGCTTCTGGCTGGGCAACAGTTGGACTACACGGTTGGCTTTTTTGGAAGAAGCAGGATCTATCCTGGCTAAGGGTCATTGAGAATGGGGCAGCAGGTGGGAGGCAAGCTCTGAGGAGGCTTTGGGCTACTGCTGCGGTCACCTTCCTCCCACTTGCCTGGATTTATTTGGGCTTTGGCTGGTTCCATTAGGCAATATTCAGGTGCTTGCTTGCAACCAATACCTCCCTGGGGGCCTGCTGAGCTGCAGCCTAAGAGAGACTGAGCAGCCAGGAGGCTGCTTGTCTACCATGCTAGTCTGCAAGGGCTGGGAAACCTTTCCCTGGCTCCTCTCCCCTCCCCCAGGGTCCTGCTCTGCTCCCTTGGCCTTCTGGGGGCCCCCGTGGTGCTGGATTCCCACCAACCTTGGGCTTTGGGAGGTTTCAATCCCTGTGTGTTCGGTGGTGTTTCCCCTTTTCTTTCTTTCTTTCTTTCTTTTTTTTAAAAGCCTTTATCACTAGTACCCCTTTTATCCATGTCAGCCACCTGCCCCATTCCCAACTTCCTAACCAACACAGCAGTGGCCAGAGGTAGAACCCTGACATAGACTTCACCTGCCTTCTCCGGGTCTTGCATCCACTGCTCTCACTGGCCTGATGACTGGGGAGGCCCAGTCACCAGTTCTGCCTCCCTGGCTATTGTCTGATGAGCAGTGTCCCCCTCCCTGCAGGCGCCCTGCTGAAAATGAATTGTGTCCCCCAGAATACAGTTGAGCCCAGAGGGGCCTTGTGTATCCACATTGGAACCTAGAGGCAAATTAGCTGAATGGGGAGTGGTGGAGGCTGAGCTCTAGGTCCTTTCTGCTGTCACTGGCTTATGTTCTAGGCAGTCTAGCTTTCTGGGGGGGGGCGGACGAGCAGGTATCCCGTGTTGGAGACCCATGGAGAATGAGGAAGGAAAAAAGGACTGTGGAAGGCYCTCTGGAGCCTCTTTCATGGGTCAGGACTAGTTCTGGTTCTACTGTGGCCCCAGCTCTGCAGCTAAACCTCAGGGCTGCCCCCGCCTCCAGCAAGGCTGACCCTTTGAACTTGCTCCTCACAGTGATAACCCTGCCATGCTCGCGGGCATCGTCATCTTGATTCTCTCTCTTTTCCCCTGCAGCAGGTTCATTGCTGGCAGTGGACGGGTGAAATCCTCACTCCAGGCCTCTCTGACTCTGTCTGCCTACACTCTGAGGAGAGGGGTCCATCAAAAACCAAACCATTCCATGGGACATGGTTTCATCTTGACCACTAGGACCGAAGTAGAAATTATCCTTCCCCTTCTTACAGACCATTAAAAAGTGGCTACCACCTGGGGAGAGAAATTCCTCTTGGTGGCTGTTCCCCTGGACTGTGCAGACAGCAGGGGTGTCCTGGGCTGGGAGATAGTCTGGTAGCCTTTGTCTGAGTTTGTCCCGTCCAGGGCAGGATGTAAGGTGTTTCCATGTCTGTTTCCTGTGCCGGCTCCTCAAATTGAGAACTGCATCCTGTGGGTGATGGTCCTATTATTGTGGCCCTAATTCTAGGATTTTGGGGGTTACAGGGAGTCAGACTTCCAGTGGGGGTGTATTGCTGTCCATATACAGATGGTCCCTTATTGCCGGACACTCATTTCCTTGGTCCCCCCAATTCTGTGGTGTCTCATTCTCCTGCACCCTAAAGACCCTCCAGCCACCACCTTTACATTCCCCCTTGTACAACTGAATTCAGTGGCCAGAGACCTCAGGGTCTCCCAGCACAAGCCCTCCCTACTTGTCAGCTAGAGCAAGCCCTTAGATGGCCTGCCARGTCTCACCACTCCATATGTTGCCTTGTGGGCATTCCCTGGTCCCATTTTCTCTCCTGGTCCTATAAATATCAAATGCAGGAGTTCCCGGAGTGAGCATGCATCCCTGGCACCATTCTGCATTGTGGGCCTAGGTGTCCCATTGCTCCTATGTCCTCTTATAGGGTACCGAGCCCCCAAGAAGAGAAGGCTACAACCCTCAGCCTGACCACAGAATCTGCAAAGTTCAGATCTCACCAGGAATAGTAGAAGAACCATTGCTTTTTGGGGGGGCAGGTATCTTCAGGTGTACAATCCTTTAGTGCTCAGGGCCTTAAAGTTTGGGGTAATCCTAGCCCTGCCAAGCAGCGAGGGTGCTGGTGGAGAGAGTCTGCTTGCTCTTTAGGAACCTTTGGTGTCCTGGGCCATTCCAGACTGTGGCACCGTCTCTCAAGTTAGATTGCAGATGTGCTGCTTCTCACAGTTGAGCTGCTTTGAATGTCTGCTAGGTTTCCTGTGCTGTCCTTCCTCAGTGCCAGTGAGTCACAATGGCCTATGCTTATTCATAGCAATAATATTTAGAGGGTGCCCATGAAGCCCTTTTGTCCTGGTCCCTCGCTCTGCATGGGTCTCCTGGTGAGGCAGCTGCTGAGTGGGTCAGCTCGTGTGACAGCCTGTGCTTAGGAAACTCTTCACTGCAGAACACACACCAGGGGAGGCAGGCTGGGGACAGGCCTAGTCCTTTAGCTCTGGCCTTCCCCCCTGAGGCCACCCAGACTCCGAGGAGCTGCAAAAAGGGGCTGTTGAAGTGGTTGAGACTGTCTTCCCATTGGGCAGCTCCTGAGAAAGTCACATGACTGGTTTGTGTGCCCATTGCCTGCTGTGTCTCCGTTGGTCTCTGTCTTTTCCTTTTCATATCTAAAAACAAAATATACTGGTGTTTGTGTTCCAGAACTGGCTCTTGTCCCTTTCTTCTACAGAGGAGCGCCTTTCCCAGAGGTTACTGAAGGCCTGGCCCTTTACACCTGAACCACACTATCCTGAACCAGGAGGACTGATGTGGGGGTGTGGGGTAGGTGACACTCCCTGCTGCTCCTTTTCACTGGCTCTRCTCTGGCCCTCTCTAGTAACCTGATTTCACCCCTGTGCACCCTGTCTTTTGTATAGCATAATTCTGGTCCTGTCTTTTGTCCCAGGCCATGAGACAGATGAGGAATACGGGGAAGTACACAGGTTGCTGCACTTGCCCATGAGATGAACTTCTCTTGAACACACTGGCCATGACCGGGAATGTCCCATGGGTTGGAGGGCCTGAAGGAGGAAGCTGAGGGTAAAGAGCTAAAAAACAATAGCTGCTTTGCATCACATTGAAAAGAAACAGTTGTGCCTTCCTCCCTGACAACTCTGCTTTCCCTGAGAAGCCCTTTGTGGCCAGTGGCAAGTCCTCCTTGAGGCAATATTTAGTTCTGGCCCCTCCCCCACCATGCCCTTCCCCACTGACCTATGTCCAGGAAGAGGATGGAGGGTTCAGAAGCTGCTCAGTCCCTCTAACTAAACCCAAAAGGCCTGGACCCCTGCTATCTTGCACACTCAAGTGGCCTCTTGCCAGGCTGTAGAACACAACCATATGTGATATAAATCACCRAAAAGGCCCTCTGTCCCCTGCCCATTTAAAGTATTCACTTCTTTGAAAGCTTTTCCTATGATAAAATGAGATCGCAGAAAGCCCCAGTAGTCACATGTCAATATACACAAATCTGTAAGGTGATTTTCTTAGAGTAGGATTTTATAGAAAGACAAACACAATGGAACAGAGTTTACTTTATGGAGCTTCTGAARAGGCAAGAGGCAGGGCCTGGACTGAGTGGACCCAGATGGTTTTTTGGTACCCGGGATGATTGGACTCAGGGGCACTTGACCACTAAGCCACATCCCCAGCCCTATGTTGTGTTTTATTTTGAGACAGGGTCTCACTGAGTTGCTTAGCATCTCACTTTTGCTGAGGCTGGCTTTGAACTTGAGATTCTCCTGCCTCAGCCTCCCGAGCCACTGGGATTACAGGTGTATGCCACTGGGATTACAGGCATGTGCCACTGTGTCCCACTCCAAATCTCTTCTTAACTAACCAGGCTCAGTGGGTGCCTTCCTTTCTCAGTGTTTTTCTTCCTCCTCTGTCCCTCCTTCACCCAGTCCAAAGGGACCTTCTAAAGACATTTCATTGACAAAAATGCCCCAGGAGAGAGCTAATGCCAAGGTTCTGTATCTTCTGAAATCTGCCTGGTTTTTGCAAAAAAACAAATGCTTAATAACTATGAATAAGCCAGGAGTAATATCGCCCACCTGTGATGTCAGAAGTGGAGGCAGGAGGATCACAAATTTGAGGCCAGCCTCAGCAACTTAGAGAGACGCTGTCTCAAGATAAAATAAAAGGGGCTTGGGATGTAGCTCAGCTGTGGAGCACTGCCGGATCCATTCCCCAGTATCTCCGAAAACAAAACAAACAGGGACAAATGACCATAACCTTGACTTTTCTTCCTGGGTGGCTGTCCCAGAAAGATGAGGATGGGGGTTATCTCCCTGGAAACTCTCATGAGATGGTCACCAGCAACAGTAGCTCAGCTGTCAAGGGAGCAGCCTTCAGTGGATGATGTTTAGTTTGAAACCTGGATGATGAGGAGGGTCAGCGTGTGGAGATGGGGGAAGAATATTTCATCAGAGCCAACAGCTAGTTCCATGAACCTGAATAGTCTGAAGTACAGATGAAAGGCTAGGATGGCTGGAGTTGGTGAGAAAGGGGGTGAGGAGGAGCTTGGATGTGGGTGAGAGAAGCAGGCAGAAGTCGGAATCCGTAGAGCCGTGGAAGCCTGATGCAGGGAGAGGACAGAGGGGAGGGGGGACAGGAGCGCACAGTGGCCATCGGCTTTTTGCCACTATGACCAATACCTGACATAATCAGCTTAGAAAGAGAAACGTTCTATTTTAGTTCACAGTATTGGAAGTTTCAGTTCATGACATTGGCTCTGTTGCTTTGGGCCCATGGTGGCAAAATACATTGTGGTGGGAGTGTGTGACTCTAGCACTTATTATCTGATTGACATTTAACAAGACACTGAGCCCCTCTGGTACTTCATTCAGTAAATTTGGTTCAAGTTTAGTCAGTTTCGTTTAATTCCTTAGGAGTTCCAGCCTCCCTTCAGGCTGAGGGCAAAAGTCACTACAGAGAAGATTCAGAGCCACCAGATTCAGAGCACAGCAAATATCATAATATAGGATGTTAGATATCTATATGTAGCCAGGCACAGTGGCTGAGGTAGGAGGATTGCAAGTTCAAAGCCAGCCTCAACAATTTAGTGAGGTCCTAAGCAACTCAGCAAGACCCTGTCCCTAAATAAAATATAAAAAAGGCCTAGGGATGTGGGGGCTGGGCACGGTGGTGCATGTCTATAATCCCAGCAGCTTGGGAGGTTGAAGCAGGAGGATTGCAAGTTTGGACTAGCCTCAGCAATTTAGCGAGGCCCTAAGAAAGTTAGAGAGCCTCAAAATTAAAAGATAAAAAAGACTGGGGATGTAGCTCAGTGGTAAGGGTCCCTGAGTTCAATCCCCTGTACAAAAAAAAAAAAAAAAAAAAGACTTGTGGATATTGCCTTTTGGTGATTTTTCAATGGCCAACTCTGGTCTACCTCCCTGGAGGGTGATCAGCTTTCCCAGTTTGCCTGAGAATAAGGGGCTTCCTAGGACATGGAACTTTTGGTGCCCAAACTAGGCCCACCAGGATATATTAGGGAGTACCATCTTTACTAATTATAGTACAACTTAGTTCCTGGTTTGCAGAATAACCCCTCTCTCACTGGACATGGTCTTGGTGGGTTCTCTCTCCAGGTCGTGGATGGATTCCTGACTCAAGCCAGAACAGCCAGCCTCAGAGTGTTTGCCTTCCTGTTGTTTCTCAGCTTGTTATTCAGCCTTTCCTTGACTCTGTGGGGTACCCTTTATGGCTTCCCAGTAAATTTCTTTTTGGTTTCTGTTAGTTGGTTCTACTACTTGCAATCACCTCTCCTCTCTACTCTGTACATCAGTGAAAACCTTCCGTATGTTGACAGTCCAGATCCTTGCTACATACTTCACTTGAAAAAAATGTATCTTTATTTGTTCTTTTTAGATATGCATGACWGTAGAATGTATTTTGACATATTATACATACATGGAGTATAACTACCCATTCTGTGGTTGTACATGTTTTGGAGTTTTGCGGGTTGCAAATTCACATATGAACATAGTAAAATTAATTCTACTGTCTTTCCCTTTTCCATTCTTCCTCCATTCCCTTTATTTCCCTTTGTTTAATCCAATGAACTCCTATGGGGATTGGCTTACTTTACCTAGCTTGCTAGTCTCCAGTTCCATTCATTTACCAGCAAATGCCATTATTCTATTTTCCTTTATGGCTGAGTTATATTCCATTGTACACACCCAATTTTAAACTATCTGACCATCTCCTATTTGCTTAATCATATCTTCAGCCCTTAATGTCTCCCTTTCCACCCTTCATGAGATACTGCTCATGTCTTGAGCTAGCATCTCCTTTTTTGTTTTGTTTTGTTTTTTGGTGTAGGGGATTGAATTCAGGGGTACTTCACCGAGCCATATCCCCAACCCTCTTTTGTATACAAGGTTTCACTGAGTTGCTTAGTGCCTCGCAGTTGCTGAGGCTGGCTTTGAACTCACGATTCTCTTGTCTCAGCCTCCTAACCTGCTGGGATTACAGGTGTATACCATGGTGCCTGGCCTAGCATCTCCTTTATAACCCCAATTGCTTCTCTGGGGAAGCTGCCTGTTCCCTCCACCTGTTCCTGAGTCCTGCATCAACTCTACTGAAAGCTGGAGGAAGCTCCAACACAAGGGTGTCCCAACTAGATCCTTCTTTAGAAATTGTAAACACGCACGCAGATCTTTCAAATTTTGTAGGCACCCCAGGATGTAGTCCTGATGAACTTGGGACTGATCCAGTATTGTTGTCCTTGTCTGCAGTAGGTCCCTAGGAAGTCTTCAGAGGCAGGTGATCAAGGTCAGCTAATGCCCCGGGTCTCCCACCTTTCCCACTGGTGGCTCCTGGGACAGTGTGACCTGTAAAAGTTGTCTGGTCCTCTTCAACACCAAAGGTCCAAGCCTTTCCTTTGGATCCCTTTAGAAATGAAAACAAGATGTTTTACAGACTCTCACTCCATCTGGTCCCCCTGGGTCTCAGGTCTGCTGGCAGCAGGACCCGATGGCTCCTTTTTCAGGAACAGCTCATTGTTTCTGCGTCCACATGGGCCCTGAGCATCCTAAGAAACAACTTGTCTTTTCTGATTGACAAATCTGGGCATCCCTCCGAGTTATTTCTATATTCTTCCTTCCTATGACTCTGCTGAAGGCACTTTGTCCAATCCTGGTGTGTATTTCATTTCCTTGGGATGACGGCTGACTTTGTGATCTGGAAAAAGGATGACGGTAAGAAAGGGAGAGAGGGAGGGCAAGGATCAGGAAATGGAAGGAGCCGGATGGCTCCACCTTCATGATTGTTTGCAGCCAGTCCCTTTCTCAGTCTTTCTGGAATGTGGCTGTCTACACTTCATGCACGACAGGGAACTTCCTGGTTGCCTGGCGAAAGATTTGACATCCCAGGCTTTGAAGTCATTAGACCTGAGTTTGAATCCCAGGTTCCTGACTCAATTGGGCATGTTACATAACCTGTCTAAGCATCATCTGAAAACGGGGCTAATAATAGTCTAACTCCCAGAGGGTGGAGATCAGTCAAGACAAACAGTGTCGGGTGCCCAGCATGCAATCAATGTTGGCTGTTGGGAGAACTCTTTTCCTCCCTTAGTCTCCTAAGTGAAATGCAAACAGGTAAGCATTTCTGACTTCCGGCTGGTGTGGTCATGATGGCCAAAGCCACGGAATGTGCC